TTTTGATGTTTGTGTCAATTGCATTAAAGGTAAACAAACCAAAATAAAGAGGATAGGTGCTTATCGAGCTATGGAAGTCTTAGAGTTGATACATACAGATATTTGTGGGCCATTTCCTACACCTTCGTTGAATGGTCAACAATAATTTGTATCATTCATAGACGATTATTCTCGATATAGTTATCTATACCTCATAAGGGAAAAATCTGTGGCCTTGGACATGTTCAAAGCATTTAAGGCTGAAGTTGAAAATTAACTCGGCAAAGGCATTAAGATCGTCAGATTTGACTGTGGAGGTAAATATTACGACAGAAATGATGGATCTGGTGAACAACATCCAGGCTCATTTGCTGACTTCCTTAAGGAGTGTGGAATTGTTCCTCAGTATACTATGCCAGGTTCGCCTAGCATGAATGGTGTTGCTGAGAGACGAAATTGCACATTAAAGGATATAATTCGAAGGATTATTTGCCAATCAACTTTACCACGATCCTCGTGGGGGGAAGCACTAAAGACTGCAGTCTACATCCTTAACAGAGTACCAACCAAAACGACTGATAAAACACCCTATAAATTATGGATTGGCCGCAACCCTAGCTTAAGGCATTTTAGGGTGTGGGGTTGTCCAGCTGAGGCAAGGCCTTGTAGGCTAAATGAACCAAAGCTAGCACCTCGTACGGTGAGCAGTCATTTCATTGGTTACTCGGAACGGTCAAAGAGGTATAAATTTTATGATCTCATATAATCAAGAAACATTTTTTAGACGAGCACTGTAACGTTCTCTGAGGAAGTTGAGTTTGGGGGAGAAATACAGTTTCATACTTTACTTTTGAGGATAGAGAATCACCAAAGTGGTTGACCCAATCCCTCAAGAGCAAATAGCCATTCCAGCTCCCATACAGTTTCAAGATACAATTGAAGAGCTTGTTTATTTTGAACCTGAGCCTCAACATGTACCTATAGGATAAATTCAACAAACTCAAGAACATACAGTTCAAGAGCCAACTCTTTTGCGTAGATCCACTAGAGAACGGAGAAATGTCATTCCGAATGATTATTTGGTAATGTGGGTGGCTTGAATGAGGATGACTCAGTCAACCTCAAACAAGTCTTGAAGGATCCCAACTCAAATAAATGGATCGAAGCAATGCGTGAGGAGTATAAGTCGATGCAAGACAATAAGGTTTGGGAACTTGTCCCATTGCCAGGAGGAGCAAAACCCATCGGTTGCAAATGGATTTTTAAGACCAAATGTGATGCAAATGGTAATGTAGAGAGGTATAAAGCACGTCTTGTGGATAAAGGCTATACTCAAAGGGAAGGGATTGACTATAAAGATACCTTTTCTCTGGTGTCCTCGAAAGACTCTTTTAGAACAATCATGACTCTAGTGGCACATTTTGACATAGAGCTACATCAGATGGATGTAAAGATGGTGTTTCTCAATTGTGACATTGATGAGACAATCTATGGTACAACCATAAAGCTTTGAGGGCGATGACCCAATGAAAATGGTTTGTAAATTAAGGAAATCCATCTATGGGCTCAAACAAGCGTCTTGACAATGGTATCACAAATTTCATCAAGTAATTATCTCGTATGGTTTTGAGATAAATGTTGTTGATGATTGCGTTTATCACAAGTTCAATAGGAGTAAATTTATTCTTTGGTTTTGTATGTGGATGACATTTTGCTTGCCACAAACGATATGTGCATGTTGCACGAAACTAAGAAATTTCTTTCAAGTAACTTCGAAATGAAAGATCTTGGTGAAGCGTCTTTTGTATTAGGAATCCAGATACACCGAGAGTGATCTCGAGGTATTCTAGGGTTATCACAAAAGAGCTATATCGATAAAGTGCTTGAGCGATTTGCCATGCAGAACAGCAAACCAGGAAATACCCATATGGCTAAAGGAGACAAATTGGTGTAGATTAGTATAGATTATTAT